AGAGGGTGAATAAGTCAATATAGGCAAGGAGATTCTGATGATGAATTTGTATTATTAATGAAATATGAGAGTGAAGGTGAGAAGATGATAGACCGGTGGTATATGAAAATTTTCTATTCAAATTATCTAACTGAAAATAAGAAATGGATGGTTGATTTTGACTTTGGTAAAAGGACCAAGATCGAATGTGTTGATGATAAGTATTTGAATGCTGAAGAAATGGAAAATGTCAAAGTAACTCTAAAGAATGGTAAAACTGCACTGATTCGGGATGTGTGGTATGTTCCTAGCATGAAGAATAATTTGATGGGTGTAGGTCAACTGATTGAAAAAAGTTTTTCAATAACCATGAAGGACAATCTCTTAAAGTTGTATGACTGTCATCAGGAGTTGATTATGAAGTCTAAACAGGGAAGGAATAGGACATTTAAGGTGAATGTGAAAACTACAGACTCTCAATGCCTTAGTACAACAAGTGTTGTAAAGGAAAGTGAGTTGTGGCACAAGAGATTGGGGCATTTGAACTTCAGAAGCATATGGCATCTGAGTTAAAAGAAGTTAGTTCATGGAATTCCTAAAATTGTAGCACCATAGAAATCATGTGATGTATCAAAAATGACATGGATATCATGTTTTAAGTGTGGTGCATTCTAATATTTGTGGGTCATTTCTAGTACCTTCACTTGGAGAGAACAAGTATTTTGTGTTATTTGTGGATGAGTTCACCATATTAACATGGATATCCCTCATAAAGTTTAAACACGAGGTGTTTCCTGAACTCAAAAAGTTCAGATTCAAGGCTGAGAATTAGAGTGGAAAGAGTCTGAAGATTCTCAAAATTGATAGTAGAGGTGAGTTCAACTCTACAGAGTTCAAGCAATATTATGAGGATAATAGAATTAAGCACGAGGTTATTGCTTCATACACTCCTTAACACAATGACCTTACTGAAATGAGAAACAGAACTTTGCTTGATATGACAAAGAGCATGCTGTAAGAGAAGAAGTGTATCATACATTATGGGGTGAATCTATTGCCACTTCAGCATATATGCTCAACAAATGTCCAACTAAGAAGTTAAAGGGAGTTGTTCTTATTGAGAAATGGACTAAAAGCAAGCAAAGTGTGAGGCATATGAAGGTGTTTGGTTCTGTTTATTACTAAGAAGTTATATGTTATCACATTACATGTGCTTATAAGTTATAATGTCCAATCACCAGCAAAGTTGAATTCAACATATGTGTTGTTGTGAAAGAATAAAAAATGTGGGATTGAAGCAAGTCTTAATCCAACTTTGGTGGAGTAATAACACATGAGTTACATTTTTCCTCTGAAGGAGAATCTTTCTCTAAAGATGAGTTAGAGTATGAAGGTGACTCTAAAGCTAAAGTTGAGCTTGAATATGAGTCTGACTCTAAAGGAGACTTTAAAGGTGAGTCAGAGTTTGAAAGTGAGTCTGACTCTGAAGATGAAACTGATGGTGATCCAGACACTGGTGGTAATCCAACCCCTAATGGAAGTCTTGCATATAAAGGTGGAGCTTCTAAAGGTGGTCTTGCCTCTGAAATTATGCCACAAAGACTTCGACAGATTCCAAGAAGGCTTGTAGATTTTAAATTACTGCAAGATATTGAGATTGATTTTGAAAGGGAAGTTATTAAGTGTGCCATGATGGTGAACTCGGAACCTGTCAGTATCAACAAAGCACTTAAGAAGAAAGTGTGGCTGAAGACTATAAAATACGAACTTGAGGCAATTGAAAGAAACCAAAGATAGGAGTTAACTATGTTTCCCAAGGATAAGAAAGTCATCAGTGTCAGATGGGTATACAAGACAAAGCTGAAACCAGATGGGTCAATTGCTAAGTATAAAGCAAAGTTAATAGCTTGAGGATTTCTACAGAAATCTGGTTTAGACTACTTTGAAGTGTTTGCACTTGTAGTGAGACATGAAACCATGAGGTTGGTTATTTATATAGCTGCAAATAGGAATTAGCATTTGCTGCATTTTGATGTGAAGTCGGCTTTTCTGAATGATCCTTTATATGAGAAAGTTTATGTGTTAGAACCTCCTAGATTTGTAAAACGGAATAAGGAAGGGATGGTGTACAAGTTGCACAAAACATTGTATGGAGTGAAACAAGCTCCAAGAGCTTGGAATCTGAAAATTGATTCATTTTTCAAGCGTCAAGGAATCGGAATGTGTGAGATGGAGTATGGTGTATATGTTCAGCATACCTCTAATGAAAATATGATGTTGGTGTGTTTTTATGTTGATGACATATTGCTGATAGAGAGTTGTATTTCTGAAATGAACAAGTTTAAGGTGTTGATGAATGCACTTGAGATGACTGACCTTGAAAATATGGTATATTTTTTAGGGATTGAGGTTTTGGACTCTAAAAAGGGAATCATTATGCACCAACTGAAATATGAACTTGAGTTGCTGATGTGATTTGCGTTGATGAATTGCAAATCTGCAGTTACACCTTCTGAGACAAACCATAAGTTGGATTTTCATTCTTAATGTAAGGATGTAGACGATACAACCTTCAAATAGTTGGTTGATTGTTTGAGATATTTGTGTAACGCATGACTTGGCATTTGTTATGTAGTTGGAATGGTGAGTAGATTTATGAGTAAATCAAAGTGGTCACATTATCATGTTGCAGTCAGGATACTAAAGTATGTGAAAGGAACTCTGAATTATGGTGTTTTGTTTCCATCTGGAGGGTCAGATGATGTCGAGTTGATATGTTATTCAGACTCTAACTAGTGTGGAGACAAAGTTGACAGAAGAAACACTATAGGATACTTGTTCAAGTACTTGAAAGCCCCAATTTCTTTGTGTTTCAAGAAGCAACTTGTTGTTACTTTGTCAACCCGTGAAGCTGAATACATAGTTGGTGTTTTATCAACTTGTCAAGTTGTTTGGCTGATAAATTTGTTGCAAAAATGGAAGTTCAAGGTAAGTAAATCAGTCAAGATGATGATAGACAACAAATTTTCCATAAGCCTTGAAAAGAACTCAGTGCTGCATGGGAAACGCAATCATATAGAGACAAAGTTTTATTTTTTGTGCAATCAAGTTCATAATGGAATGCTTGAAGTTGTTCACTGTAACACTCAGAAGCAACTTGCAGATATGATGACTAAGGCAATCAATACTGAACACTTCATCAATTTGAGGAATGAAATTAGTGTTGTTGACTTTAACATGAATATGAATTGAGGGATGATATTGAATAGTAATTCATATACAAATTGTAATTGATTTGAACTTAGATTGCATTTAAATTTCATTTGGTTGGCATTTGTGTTTGAGATTATGTATATAAATTGAAGTTGCAATTCATGGTCAGTTATTGTAACTATTTTTCATATTAAGTAAAAGTTAGTTACAAATATATCTTCTTTCTCTCTTTTTTCTTTTTTATCTTCATCTTGTTCAAACTTCATAAGCGTCAATAAAAGTGTAACTCCAATAATTAAAAATTCAGAGTGTCCGTGACATAGATTATGTGAGATCAATTCAAAAATTTAGAAGTCTATGAAAACTTAATAAGCATTAAGACTTTAATTTAATTTTATTTAATTTGGCTATTGTCAATATGAAAAATGATGAACTCCAAAAGGAATTTAATTCTAAGAAAAAGTACTTTTTATTGGAAAACTTTAAATAACATTAAAAATAATACTTCTGCATAAGAAAAAGAAAAAGATGCTTTGATTACAAGTTTAATCGTGAGTAGATTAGTTTTTTTTTAAGGTGTCTAATCGATTAACATGAAATAATAAGTGTGGTGTAAATTATATAGTTCAGTTAATAAATACTACCTTTTGTAATTTTTAATTTAGTATCACCTGTATTTAACTTTGAGTAATGATAATCAGTTTAATAATAATCCTGTAGAAATATTAATATTTATTTTATATTTATTTTAATTGTAATTTATAATTATATTCAAAAGTATGTAAAAATATTAATGTAGATTGATAAGGTTAAACCATTGAAAAAGTTGTCAAGTTTACCATTTAATCAAAAGTTAAAGAATATATCATAACAGTGCTAAAAAAATGATGATAGCACTAAAAGTATATTATTTATATCCTTTTTAGTACACTTATATAGTTATATTATGTCTAAAAAGCTTTTATTATGGTTTTTAGTTTGACCTTTTTAACCAAATAAATTTCTATAAGACTACTAGTTTATCTTTATTTTTAAAATAAATTGGTACGCTAGACTAGTTAATTATTCTGATATATTTCCACTTAAGCTCAAATAAGAAAGCATACTCATATATAATGCTTCCAAATTTATTATTTAATTTCATAATTTTCATAAAAAAGTTATTTTAAAATTTACTCTCAAAATCACATTGTTGATTTTAAAAGAGTCATGTAACTTTATAAGCAAGGAAGTGAAGCCACGGTTGATGGTTTTACGTGTGGTTTGATTGTAACTAGCAAAGAAGTGAAGCAAACGTCTCCCACGATATCCAATTGTCATCCTGGACCCACCAAAACAAAACCCTCAAACATTCCATCATGTTTTGCCTCCAATTATTAAAAATAAAATTACAATATCATTGTGCTGTTGTTGTTATGTATCATCATTTCATAACTATTAAAAGAAAGAAAATCAAAGACAATGATAGAAGTAACAAAAACCACTTGAACACCAAGGACATCATAGATGTGTTTCATGTGACCACCAAAAGCCAGATCCAAGACAATGACGAACATGAAACCATAGTAGTTTGTCTTCTAGGCACCATGGAACTCTTTCTTGAAGTTTTGCACACAAAATAGTATATACTCATATGAGATAATGTTAGCCTGTAAATGACACAAGCTTCATTTTAAAATGATACATTGCACAATTAGTGCATTCTAGAATCAAGTTTCTGTTACAATGGTCCGAAAAACTTATTAAACAATTAACACATGAAAAAATATCGCCCCGAGGGTGCGTAATGCCTGGGTAACTAAACTAGTTTAGTATTTCCTTCTCCACGAAGTCCACTTGAGTTGAAGCTGGTACCACAAGGGTGGTATTCCCAGCACCCCTCGCGCTAGCCTTGGATCAAACACATCAAATTGTACCCGGCGTAGGGAGTCCAAGAGAACCTGAGCGGGTACAGACGGCAGGAGCACCGGAAGAGCCTCGGCAGGCACACTCTTAGATAATTTCCGTGCCTTTTGTAAGTGTGCATTGGCTACTGATGCCATTTCATAAACTGCTTCACAAAGACCCTCACGAGAATCCAGCCATCTCTCTTGACCGTCCTGCTTAACTATTAGCCCGTGCTTGGACGCTATAGCCCTTGGTATGTAAGAAAAATGTCGGTTGTGACCAGCATGATAAGGCAGCGATTTAAGGAGCAGAAGAATACCACTAGCCTTGCCAATATGCGAGGCTGCATGGTCAGCTGCAGTAGATATGATACCACCGGATTGAAGTGTCAAATACAGCATAGTAGATACAGTGTCCTCAGCATATTTCTCCAACTCTTCCATAGTTTCTGGAATGTCGGTAGCCTCTCTTCTTGCATCGTTGATCCGGGCTTCAACAGATCGTTTCAACCATGTCTTACTAATTTTGGTCTCTGATATCACATGTGACATGGCCAGCGCTGTTGGGTGTTCAATTAATTTATTGGCAAATATTTTGTCTATGGCTTCCTGCCACCACACAAGGCGCATAAGACCAATCCTGGGATCAGAAGCAACATCCATAGCTCTAGCTGTCTCGACATTCAAGGCACGGAGCGTGAACGCCGCCTTCCGCAGAGATGGAGGCAGTTCAAGAAGGCAAAGATAGTGATGATAATCATAACTTCGCACTTGTTGTACGCAATGGGAGAGAGCCGACCTTAAGTTACTAGATGCAGAACCGCCACTCATTAAATCCTCTATTTAGTGCCTACATATGAAAGTTACATCAATTACAACTCTGCCATACATCTAAATGTAACTTACAAGTGGAAAAGGCAAGACAATTGTTTATTTCAAAAATCTCTCTTCTCCTTATTATAAGTAAAACTAATACAAATTTTAAGAAATGAGAATAGAAAATGTTTACACAAAGTAAACAAACCCTAAATTTTCATTGATCATAAGTTAACCCTCAAATCCTCCCTTTGTTAATAGTAACCACTAATGTTCAAGCACCTATAGCTGTTAGTGTATTATTATAACAGCAATTTCATCAAATGGAAAAAGTTCAAACCTAATATAGAGATTCAATATGCTAGCAGAGAAAGATTTGAAGAAATTGAGCAATATAAAGCAAGCAATTCTCGAATTCATCTAGAGAATTAGCGCAATGGAGCTATGATCTACTGTGACACAATTCTCGGATTGTAGAAAAAGCTATAGTGGCTGCAAATCGCGTTGGAATCATATCATCGCGCTAGCTACTTGAGAGTGGAAGGGAAATACTTGAAATTGAAAAAATTAAAAAGGGAACCTGGACATACTTTCTCACGGTTTCTGCCGGCCGACAACCAGCTCCGGCAGAGTTTTTCCGGCCAGTTGAGAACTTGTTTCCGATTCAACAAGTGCAAAGCGCCAAAGCGGCTGCAATTTTTTTTCTCGGAGGTGCTGAGTTTTTCTTAATTAAAACTGTTCATTTTTGTCCATTGGATGATAATGGGCTTCATCAAAGGAGTAGATTGGGCTTGTAAGTAGAGTTTCAGAGAAGCTGGGGTGCTACTTCACCTTATTGAAAAGTCATATATGTCCTTCAAAATTCAAACGCATATTTTTATATGTATTTTGTTGTTCATCTTCAAAATAGTTTTTAGTATAGATGGAGTGTGTCTCACTTCTAACATCTTTTGTGTGTATTTATTGCGTGTAGAGATATATCATCAAAATCGGATTTTCAACGTGTTCATCCTTATCTCATATAACGAATGAAACAACTCTCATTTCATTTATATTTTAAGTGGATTACTCTTCTCACTCTAAAGATTGTTATCACACCTTAGTCAAAAAAATAAAATCACTCTTAAAATTTTGAAATACATTTCTGAATGTATTCCAATACACCAAATTCATGTATAAATGAATCGGAAAAAAAAAATAGTCCAAAATTATATTTGCAAAAAAAGAACTTTGACATTGTGTTTTTTTTTTTTTTTATACCATAACCTAAATTTTTTAAGTTTGGAAAACTGGAACTCTATCTCAATTTCATAAACATGCTATTGACTCCGAAAAACTGTCTCAATTTCATAAACATGCTATTAACTCCATATAGGGCTGGCAATGAACCAAACCAACTCGAAGATAGTTCGGAATTCGACTCGACAATTAAATCGTTGAACTAGGTTCATGAACCAAATGAGTTGAGTATGAGCGAAAAATTAAGTTCGTTAACTAAATGAGCTGAACTTGAACTATACATAGTTCGACTCGTTAGGTTCATGAGTCAACTCGGTTACATATGAAAAGAATTATATTGTCTTTAAGATTAGGTTTAAATATTTACTTCAAAACTTAGACAAATTTAATCTTCAATTTAGTAGTTTTTGAATTAGACTCTCAAATGTATCTCTTGAAAGTTGTGTAGGTTTTGAATTAGTAGATTTCAAAGATAAAGTTAAATTTCAATATGATAACTTTTATTTTATTTTAATATTTTATTTAAAAAATATATATTTATTTAAAATGTCAAATATACTAAAAAATATATATATTTAAAAAAATAGTTTTTAAGTTCGTGAACCATGTGAGATGAACCTAATGAGATGAACCTAACGAGTCGAACCGAACTGTTCGTGAACTTATAACGAGTCGAGTTTGAGCTTAAAAAAAAGTTCGTGTCGAACTCGAACTCGAACTCGAATTCGAACAATTCTTAACGAGTCGAGCCGAGCTGAGGTGAGTTCGACTCGACTCGACTCATTTCCAGCCCTAACTCCATACATATATAACAATTTTATTAAAGTTAAAATAGAATTTCCACAATTTTATTAAAGTTTATTTAACACAAGTATTTTTTTAAGGAAGGAATTTCATTCAAGTTTATTTAACTCAATTTCTTAAACGTGCAAAAACAATGCAAAAACAAAGGTAAAAATAGAAGATTGAATGGTGATTATATTATTTCTAGTATTGAAAGTTGCTTCTAGTGTGCATTTTGACTCATAATTTAAGTTTAAGAAAGCAAATTAAATCAACTATATTATTCAATTATTATGAAGATGAAGATGGGGGTAACTAAAGTTGGTGTCTTTACCGAAGTATTTTTTTTTTTTTTTTTAAAGTATATTTTCGAATTATTTTTTTTAAGTAAAAATGAGGGTGTGTCTCATTTAGAAATGGGTGTGGTGTATATGAGATGCGTTCGAAAATGCATTTTTTGAATTTGTGGGATATTTTTTTTTATTTTCATAGGTTGGCTCTCCACCACTTAGTGTGGGAGGAGTAATGTCTTATTTTTATTGGAGGAAATCTTTCCCACCTTTAGTGTTGCTCGTCCACCATGGTGAAATTTCATAAATACCTCCTAAAAAATTTTAGATTGTAAACTCCTGACACTCCCAAAATAGATTAATAACTTGGATTTCCCACCTTTATTGTAATCTGGATTTCAGTCTCTACTATTTTTACAGATTCCAATCTCTTGATAAGTTTGATTAATAACCTCGCGTCATACCCTTCCATGTTTCTTCTTTATTTCACAAACTTACTCAGAACCCAAAATAGAGCTCGTGAGCAAACTTCATTTCTATCATTTTTCAAATTTTCTCGCTACTTCTATTGCATTACATTCAAGTCTAGGACAATCAATCTCTACTCTGCTGCATTCAATTGAAATTTCTCAATTTTCAATCTTTCTCACAATTTCGTAAGTTTTTCATTCCCATCCTTTTTTTTATTAATGTGTTACTAAATAGGTTAGTTATGATAGGTTGTAGTTAAAATCATAATCTATTGGTTTCTGATTTATGCATTCATACTTTTTCAAGTTCATACTTTTTCAAGTTTATAGCATGTGGTTTTTCTTCGTTCGTATTCTGCAACTTTGATTTTGTCTAGAGATTAGAATTTTGACTACGGGTTCGAAAAAAATCTGGATTTTCTTGTAACTAGGAATGTAAATGGATATCCATGGGGACGGGTACTATGATATCTGTATCCGCCATATTAGATAAATATGATATCCATATTTTCCTCATATCCATGTGGATATACGTTAAGCGGATAATCTGCGAGTTTTACGGTATTCACGAATATTTCCAAATACCAATGGAGAATATATTTTTTTATAAAAATTATTTTTTGAAAAAAGACATTTTTAACTTCTTTTAGAGACACAAAAAGTTATTATTATATAACATCCATACAATTCGCTCTTGATTTAATAATAAAATTTCATTACATTAATTTTCTTCTTATTCCCCAAACATAACATAAATACATTTCGTTTTTAACCAAACAAATAAAAGATATTGTGATTGTGATTTATGATGGAAGATCCGACGACAAAGGAGTAGGAAGAGAGACATTGGTTCGACAGAGGAATGGCGACATTAGTTTGTTGGACTGTGAAATTGATGAAGTGAGGTATGAAGTATCGAAGAGTTTAAATATGAAATGACTAATAGAATTTGAATGAAAAGAGAAAGGTTTTGTTCAACGAAAATTTCAAAAAAAATAAAGAAGTATAAGAAATTTTTTTTTTTTAGAAAATGAAAAGATAATGTATATTAAACTAATGATATTTAAATAATTTTTATAATTTATAAATGGATATGGATATCTGCGGGTATGGATATCATTAAACTCATATCCATATCCATTTATAAACGGGTACTTAAATATCCATTTATTTTATCTGTAGATATACATTAAGCTACCCGTCCTATATCCGTGACGGTTTTTATCCACGGATATACGCGAGTACGAACTTTTTTGCCATCCCTACTTGTAACTCCGGTTTGTTTGATTTTGCATGTTGTGTCCTCTGAGATTAACTTCTTTGATTATGATATGATTTTTGTGGTGTAATTATAAGTAAAGTGCATGACAACCAAGATAGATTAAGCATGGTATAATGCATGCTTTCGTTCGAATGGAAAAAGCTAGACCATATCATCCAGACGTTGGTTCTAGTTTATTTGATGCAAATGCATCATTTCGGAGTTCAGGTGTCTAGAGCATCATCATCCTAGAGACATGAGTCCTTTATTGTTGCCCATGATGTCCTAGAAGTTCTAAAAGTCCATATTACTGACCCTTTTACTATTGTTCCTAATGTTTTTCTAGGAGCCCCTCATGCATGTCACTTTTTCCTTTAAATCTAGACCATGCTGTTAGGTATGCGTGAGATGGAGAGGTATCATAAATCTTTAGTTTTATTTAAACCATGTGTGTTATACGATTTGAACATTATGACAGTGATGTTTTTATTGCAGTATCGTGATACATTGAAATATATCAACCATGGTAGGAAGAGTACAAAGTTGTCACAATCTAATAAGCCATGGTTTTAGGATGTCATGCATGCATCTAGATTGCAAGATTTGTGCAGGATAGGGTATGGTTATATTAACCATAATTTGTTGTCTGATTTTGCTGAGAGATGGCATCCAGAGACATCTTTATTTAATCTTTTGATCGGTGAGGTATTCATCACACTTTATGATGTGTAATCCATCTTACATCTTTCGATATACAATAGACCTATTTAGTAGACCGGAGGCACTAGAGATGATGATGACCTATTTAGTAGCAGACTCAAGTGATGCCCAAAAAGAGATAGATGACACTAAAGGATGTGTTATATTTTCATTCTTAGAGATATTGTAGAGAGACCATTGACTTCTGTAATGGATGTTAATGGTGATGATACCCAAGTTATGTAGCATAGGCGATGTGCATTGAAGGCATAC